TTGTCCAGATGGTGAAATATTCGACCACGAAACTCTGCAAGAGCTCTTGTACGAAACCTCCGAGAAACGTTGTAGTCATCAAAGAAGCACCCTTCTTTCAAGACGAGAGTCTAGTGCATCGAATATGGAGAGATAAGGAAACATCAGTAGAACGTCGCCGCCAGGGGTTGTCCTTGAAGACCGGCCATACCCACGGATGTGTTGCTGCGGAACTATCACCCCCTTCTCGAGGAACAAGGTTTCGGTATGATGACGAGAATATGGGGAATACGTGCATGGTCATAGATTGGCCTGAGTGTGGACGCTTGCGAGACGGGATATTTCCAGCGAATGCTGAAAAAGGTCGAGCGAAAAACATGGCCAAGAATCTTTGGGAATCCCCACGGATCTGCGTGAATCACACTCAAGGTTTCAACGCGAAGGCAGCGGTGGTTACCCAACCCCCCAGAGATCTGTGTGAATTCCAGAAGGAATCTGTAGAACAATTGTCATGGCCGCTAGCGCAACGTACGTGGCTGGAATACATAGCTCCCATCGTTTCTCGGAAACGGGTTGTACCGAGTACCTTGTCCGGTCGGCCGGTGTTTGACCCCGCTGCTGCTGTTGTTCGTGCTCCTTGCGTTCCCCGCTCCTTCTCGATTGTCTCATGAGTGCAGCAATCAAGGTTCCGCGGTGACAGGATCTGCCTCCAAGAGCGGGGTAGTGGCCACAGGGCCAGAAGGAGGAGGAGGGTCCCCGGCCAGCGCCGGGATCGACATCCAGGGCGTCCTACGCGATGTGAGCAAGCCATTCCAACATCTCTGTCGCAGTTCATCTTGTGAGGCCCGTTATGAACGTGAATTCGTGTGCGGACGCACCCCTCTTGATACTGTGCAACGGCCTACACTTGTCCAGAGCAGACACCAAGCCTGCCCACCGAACGTCCCAATCAGCAAGTAATTAAAGGCGGAAAATTCCGGGTTGGTGTCCGCGGCTGTGTCCGATTGGTTCTTGTTGCCGATTGTGCAACTTCTCATCTGTTGGTCCTGCCTTTTTGTCGAGCGAGCTTGATTAGAGGGGCTGCGGACTCCGCATACACCTTGTGAGCGTTTTTCGTGTGAAACGTTACTCACGCTTGCCTGTGCCATACTCTAAGATTGGACGCACCACCGCGCACCAGGCGTACCGTACTGTCCTTCGAGAACGCATCCTCGCATGGGAACCCTCCCCTCCCCCAAAAAAACAAACACGGCCGGGGTAGCACAGACACGACAAGGTAGACCCGCGGTTTGTGTGATTGACCCGACATTCTTGGGTCAGTGCTGTGATTTGTATACAGGTGCTTCACATCAGAAATATGAGACTACGCCACCGAGGCCGTATCGCTGCGGAACCCACTTGCATGTTTGAAAATACCGCCCCTCTACAATTGAGCACGGCCCGGTGTGATTGTTATCCGCTCCCCCGATGCGTTCTGAAATGATTCTACAGTTGAATGCATATATTTCCACGCGTGTACGACTCCTCGGCCGACCCAACACCCCAATCCCTTTCCATGGCCGCTCTGTGGTGTATTCACACGTGCAGGAAAACACCGTGGCATCCAGGCGTGTCTTCAATAGCAAAGACATCATGCCGTACCTTGCAGATTTTGTGCATCGTGACCAGTACCTGTTCAATGCCCTGTTGTCGAAGAACTTCAGGCGCGAGTGGGGCCCACGAGCAACGATATCCCGGCCGGTGGTGGCCGACATGTCCATCGGGCAGCTCAGGTACTGCTTGGAGCTCGGCCTGCCCATGAGCATCCGGCAGAAACGCATCTGCAACGCCGCTGCCCGCTTCGGCAAGCTGGACCTCCTTGAGCTTGCGCACAAGAGCCATTGTGGGTGGAGCCCAGGGACGTGTGCTGAGGCCGCCCGGGGGGGGCACCTTGACCTCCTCAAATGGCTTCGAGCGCAGGGCTGTTCTTGGGATGAACAGGTTTGCGCCGGTGCTGCCCTAGGTGGGAATAATGACATTCTGAAGTGGCTTCGCGAGCAGGGTTGCCCTTGGGATGAAACGACATGCGCATCGGCCGCACGTCGTGGAGACTTCGACGGCCTTTCGTAGGCTTTCGCTGAAGGGTGCCCTTTGGACAGCAAATCCTGTTACTGGGCCGCTCGCAGAGGAGATACACCCATGATTGAGTGGCTCCGGAAAAATGATTGCCCTTGGGATGAGTATGATGACGGGGGTCCATGCGCCGGGGCCGCACGTAGAGGATGTCCATGGGACGAGCGGACCTGTGCAGAGGCGGTGGAAGGCGGGCATCTGGAACTTCTGCAGTGGGCAATAACGAAGGAGTGCGCGGGGGACAGTGGCACTTGTGCGGGGGCTGCCTGGGGAGAACACCTCGAGATTTTGCGCTGGGCAATAGCAAACGCCTGTCCTTGGGATGAACGGGTTTTCTCGCATATGACCAGACGAGGGAACCTGTACATTCTTCAGTGGCTACGTGGGAACGAATGTCCTTGGGGTCGTGCAACCTGCAAGCAGGCAGTCGCGGGCGGGCACTTTGGAGTGTTGACTTGGGCCCTCGCCAACCATTGCCCATCGGACTCGGACCTTGTGGGAGTGGCAGACAATAATATCTATGGCTACATCCGTCGCTGGGTGGACACAAACGCTTGCCCGGACACTGGCAAGTCACATTTTAGCTCGAGATCGAGTGAGGAACCATCGGGAAGTGTGTCAATAGCGTTACATACACACCTGCCGTTTGGTTGGTGGTGAAAATATCGTCGGCAAGGATTGGTCACACCCACGTGACCTGAGGACAGCGGGAGAGACCGCGCACTAGATGAAGGAACTTGACGTCAAAGCGAGGTGGATACAGACATATCTAGAAAGAAAGCCGCCCTCCATGAGGTGAAGCCTCCCCCAAACACAGTCGCCGGGGTACCCCAACAACTTCGAGTGGGCCCCGGGGGTATCGTCGTGTAATTGGGGTAATTTTTTCGCCATTGCTATCTGTGGTTAGCCCCGGGGTGTTCTTTTTTGGGTACATTTTTGGGGCGCCCGGAGGGGCGTTCGCACTCAAACCCACGGGCGGCATTTTCAAATGTGGCAGCATATTCGTGTGTGTGCCATTAGTCGTGTTTGCTGTGGATGTTTCTGGTGTTGTTGTTGTTGGTGGTGGTGGTGCTGCTGCTGGTGTTGTATAGCGGATGGAGTCCCGATATCTTGAAGGTAAGCGTGCCAGCGCTGTGTCGTGTGGTACAGCAGGTCAGGTACATCACAGCAAAAAAGAGACAACGCCCGCCCCGGGGTCTTCTCGTCCCTCTGGTCTACACACCTTGGAGTCAACCCCGTGGTTTTGATTTGGCGATTGTTTTATGTACCGGGACAGAGGTGTTGGAGTTAAATTATTCGGGCGAAGCCCGCCAACACTTTTGAACAAACGTATGGCGATCGCGCCGAGAGTCGTTCCCAAAGGATGTTACGGTATCTGGTGTAATATTTACCGGAACGGTTTGATGTTGGTTCGTGCGTTTTTATTTTTCATTTCATGCATTGGTTAATGCCCTCTGGTGCGTGTTTACTTGGAAGGGAACGCAACGAATTTGGACCGTGAGATATAAGAGGGACGATGGGGGAACGACAATGTCACGGTTATAACCGTGTCCTGATGCATTCGCCTGCCCCTGTAGTTTTGGGCGCTAAGAGGGTGAAGCAATAGAATAAGTATCCCGGGGTACGTGTTCAGACGGCATTTCCGTCGAGGAAACGGCGTGACGTAAACTCGAGCTTGAGATACGGACGGGGTTGACGACGCGGTCACCCGTATCTCGTCCGGCGGCAGCTGTCTGCCCGTTTGTTGCTATATTTCGAGTTGCTCCATCATTATCGGTGTCTAGATCACCAAGGGTGGAGAGAGAGAGAAAAACGGGGTAAGAACCTGCGCTAGAAACACCCCAGCCTCGCGCCTGATTCCCATCCAAAACCTGTCTCTCTCTCACTCTGCAGTCAACTGTTGTATCCAGCCGGGGAAATCCGACTACGGCCTCTGCACGTGGGGGTCTGGAATGACCAAGTCCCCAAATGGTACTCAACCATTCAACCACATCATCCACAATATACCCTTGACAGATTATAGATAACTGGCGAAAGGAAATAAGGGCTTCATGCCATTTCGTTCCCCCACCTTCGAAAGACAAGGGTTGGGTGGGCAGGAAAAGGCACTACTACCTGTGGCCACCTGTCTGTGTCGGCCAGTACCTCAATCCATGGGCGTGCTCACGTATTCCGATGTCCTCTCTCGCGCCACGAGCGCAGCAACCGACGACTACGGTACACGTGTGCTCTCTCCATTGGGTTCGGGGGGCACGCGAAATGCGCTCTACATGTATGTGGCCCCGGTCAACGCACTTCGTAGTATGAGAGAGACTTGAGGGTGATACGCACGTCCCGATCCGCCGAGAGACGGGAAAAAACACAAAGAAACGCCAAACACGAGATTGTTTTTCGAAAAAACTCGATCACAGCGGCTGGCTGATCCGGAGTTCGCTGACTGGTCGAACAGTAGCATGGACTCATTCACACAGTCAGTAGGCTGGACAGTTTCGACCCACGCACCGCGCCTCTTCTTTTCTCTGTTTTCTACGGGAGCCTCGAATCCAGCGGCGGCGCGGTGTTGTTTCCCGCCACCACTACTACAATGACGTCGCGCACGACGATTGATCCCGCAGCCGACGGTAGACAGACAGAAGCGAAACAAGGGATCCACCATAGGCATCCCTCACACAAACACGCGCGCGCGGCGGATCTTACATCATCGTCACTCAGATTCGGCGAGAGAAAAACATTTATTTATTTATTTGTATTTGAGCCACCTCCTCCTCCAACATTTCCGTGAAACAATGGAAGCGAGTCTCCTTGCCCCAGCCGTCACAGCCACCACGAGCACAGGGACCTTTCGCCGTGGTTGACGTTCGTCCACAACCCCCGACTTTTTTGTCGTCCTACTTTTCAATAAAGAGAAAATGCTCCGACATTACAAAAAGAGGCACTACTACGCCGCCGCCACGGCTCGGCGGCCCGAGTACCGGTGGTGCGGCGTCGAGCAGGTCGACGAGGCGGTCCCCATGTCGACCCGGAGCAACGGCTGGCGCTACCTGGGCCCTCGGGAGGGAGAGACCTACAGGCGCCAGGCGGTCTTCGGGGCCGGGTTCCGCCTTCACCTGCCGTTCCCCCGCCTCCCCCCGGGGCCGGGGCACCGCTGGTTCAACTCGCACCCGCTCGGCGGGGATCCCGACCTCCCGGATTTTCAGGCCTGGGCGCGGACGATGCTGCGCAGGCGCCTGGTGCACCCGCGCGATGCCGACGCCTGGCGGGCGGCCTTCGTCGACGTAGAGGGCAGCGGCCACGGACAGCTCGTCGTGTCCGCCGCGGACGAGACCTGGCGAGTGATACTCTGCTGGGGATCACGGGGCCGAAGGATCGACGTTAACCAGCACAGCATCCCTACATCTCTCGTCGACCTGCAGGTCCGCGCCGGCGTCACATCGGAGGATCCACGCTTCAGACAGCTCAACATCGCATGCTTCGGCCACCGACTCGTGAGGCACGATCCCGTGACCGAGTTCGGGGTTACTTGGACGGAGCGATCCCCGGGTGCCTATCTGGCGGTCTTGGTCGCAGATTCGTGGCGAGACTGTCAGATCGATCTACTCGAACGAGATCAACGGAGATTTGCGTTCGACCTGCTCTCAGGTGCGTTCATGGATTCTCGTGTCGGCGGACGGTAAAAGAAAGGTGTCAAGCGTGCAGCGCCGAACGCCCTGGATGGGGGAAACTATTTCTGCAATCTCTACTCGAAAATCCTCGAGAGGGATGTTGGTTTAACAGAGTTCTCGGCGTGGCTTTTGGGCGAAGAATGTACACCGGCCGTTACTGTCCGTCATCTCGAGAAGTGGCTCAAGACCACCAAGGCGTCAGTCGTCGTATGGTCACACAGGGGCTCCGGGGCCGAAGTTCGCGGTCCCAAGGATCAGCCGACGAGTCTCCGACCCCGAGCGCTTCACGTCGGGGTTCGCGAGGGCCACGTGTACCGCCTGGTGCTCGATGGCCCTTGGAAGGATCGCTTCACCAGCGCTCGCGAGGGGGCGGTCGGTCCATCTCTGGATGTGGCGGTCGAGCACTGCGCGCGCACGAGGCGTCTCTTTCGCCGTGTTGCCGAGGCGGCCGAGGAGGGGGAGGGAGAGGAGAAATCGGATGGTGACACCAGAACCTTCGGTCGTTGCGCGGACATGACGCAGGCAATCCTCGCCACGGGCCAGACGGAGACGGACCAGCAGACCACTCGTAAGCGCAGGAGAGGAGTCGATGACAAGGCGGACAGCAAGGAGACCTGGTGCGCGCCTCCCGGTACGGCTATGGAATAGCTCATGCTTCATCTCCTTCTCGGCGGCGTGGCTTGCACGGGTAGGCTGACCAGCTACAGCCACCGGGATTCGTTGTCGTTGCCGGCGCACGGCATAATAGTTCGAACCTGGCGCGGCGCGAGTATGGACGGACTGGATCCGGATTCGCTCGAATGCGACGAAGCTACTCGTCTGATCGAGCTGCACGGCACGCTGGGGCGCAAGCTCATTGGCGGTGTGATGGATTTTCGGGTCTCGAGTGAGTACAGCCCGTCCCTTCTCGCGCTGCTCGAGGTTTGTTGGAGGGGACCTATCGCCGGGGCAGAAGATGCGCTGGGCACAACCTATGGACCGGGGGACTGGCAGTGCGACATCAACGGGGCGCACACGGCGGCAATGCCGAGCATGGAGAATCTGCCGGCGTTCACCCATATGGACGACGGGCAGGCATTCGACGGCCACGACATCGAGGATTGGACGTTGTGCGTCGTCCGCCTGGAAGCGGGTGGCGATCCCGACGTGTTCGTGAATGCCGACTTAGCGCCAGTCTTTGGTCGGAGCTACTAGCGATACTTGGCGCTCATTCAAACCCCCGCCCTAAACCGCGTAACCCACTTCGTGCGACCTGCGAGGACGGATCGGAAGTGCCACATACCCGAGCTCGTGCAGGATGTGCTGGCCCGGGATCTAGGGGAGCCCCTCCTCCAAGACCTGGACGCTGCTCGCAGGTTCAAGAAGGGTCTGCTGGTTCGCACGAGTGGCTTGCTGCAGCGGAGACACGCCCACAGGATCAACGCCGTCATGGTCACTACCAGCGATGAGGCCATGGCTGTGGGGGGTAAGATCGTGCCCGTCCTCGGCGAAGTTAATCGCATCAAATCGGAGCTGCGAAAGAATGGTACCGATGGGGAGCTTGGCATCGAGAAACTCGACAGCGGCGACGCCTACCTTTCTTTCGAGGCTAGCCGGGTTTGGTACCGAGACGGATTCTGGGCATTGGGGACGCTCATCCTCGACGAAACTCGCCTGCGTGTGTTGGAGGTGCGGAACATGCTTGAGGCGTGTGGGGGTTCTGCCTTCAGCTACCAGTGCGACGCTGTGTTCTTCAGGGGACCTCCAGAGGTCCAGGAGGAAGCAAGGCACCGCTACGAGCATCTGTTTAGCGGCGAACCAAAACGCCCGGCACTCTCAAGTTCGAGCCAGCCCTCAAAAACGCAGCGTCTCCCGATTGCGTCTTCGCTGGCATCGAGATTAAGTTGGCCCTCGACAATCTATCCCCCGCCATGAGGACCGTTCCCTGTCCGCGGTAGATAGCGCTGCGTGCCGTCCCACAATGAGGCGGCATCGGGGAGGCCTTCAGCACCATGGAAGCCGCGCATGCAGCCTGGCGATTTGTCGGTAAGGATGACAAAAGGAAGATGTGGCCGGATATCTGCGCGGCAAAGTCACCAGCAAGTCTTGAGCAACTTCTCCGCGAGCTGATGTCGCAAGAGGACAGGGTCGTTTGAACGGTCACGGGAGAACACGGTGGAGCCGGGAAAAGCTACTGCGCGCTCCGTGCTGCGAAAATCGTGCTCAAGGCCGGCCTTGTGCTGACGCCCACGAACAGCCTACGCACGTCGTACACTGACCTGCCCCCGGGTGGAGTGTCAAGACTGCCAACCATCAGCTTGGGTTTTTCATCGGCGACGACGCGCGCGTCAGGAAGACCGCGGGCTCGATACATATCCCGAGGGTGGACGTTGTCATAATCGAGGAAGCCGTGTACATGTCTCTCCATGCGCTCAGCATGATCCTCGCCGCCGCTCACAGCAGCGGCGTCCACGTCATCGGAACGTATGACACGCACCAGCTGCAGCTCGTTCGTGAGAGCAGTGGCATGTCTATCAGCGTTGACAACGTCGACAGGCAACTCGTTCTCGAGCGAGCATTTCCCACCTGCTTTCACCTGTTCGCACGCAAGCGGGACAGGACGATCGACGAACAGGTCGAAATGGACGATAGTCTGTTGTACATCTTGGACGCGGGGGACAACAGTTCCAAAGCGCAGAGCCGAGCCCTGGAGAGATTTAGCGGGGTCGAAACCACAAGGCACGGCCCACACAGATCGATTTCCACCTCACATATACATGGGATTGTGCGAGGTTCCATGCTTTCCGGGGTTTGACGAGATGCAACGAGGCCGGGGAGTGGGACGTGCTAGGACAGAGCGGGGTGGTGGGTGCTCAGTATCGAGACCTCGGGAAGACAGGCAAGGTGCACAAGAACCACGCCTACCACATCGTTCGTTCGTCGGCCGACTCCGTCGTCGTGCAAAGTGCCTTCGACGACGGCGCCACCCTCGAAGAGAACACCCTCAGTCGCGCCGCGGCAGCGATCCTGTTTGATCCCCCGGGTTCGTGTACGCTGCACGCGGTTCAGGGTCGCACAGTGGAAGGGAAGTTGGTGATCCACCAGGCTCGGCACCGATTTTCAGACGTTTACGGGCTTTACACAGCCGTCAGCCGAGCCACGGGGCCCTCAAACGTCGTCGTTCTCATGACGCCCATCGTAGCGTCCGTGACATGCCTGAACACACCAGGAGGTCGTGGGCGGCCAGAAAGATTTTGAGCTACCTGCGCGCCGATGTGGCCGCCGGGCGGCTAGATGACGAGGACGGAGGGCATCACAAGGACGCCCTTATCGAAGAACTCTCGCGCTCCTACCGTGGGAGATGCAACTCATGCTCGCTCGAGCTCGTCTGGGCAGTGTACAGCAAGGGTCAGCCGACGCTTGATCGTCTCGATTGCGCCCTACCCCCACACACCGGGCAACGTTGAAGTAAAGTGTTTGAGGTGCAACCGTGCCCGAGGTGGTTTGGGAGGGCGACTCGCAAAGAAAAAAAAGAAGGAAGAAGAACACAAAGAGACAGAAGAGTAGGCGTTATTGTCGAAAAGTTGGTGTATTTTGTATGGCATGAATTAGTCAGAGCAAGTGTTTTTTCCCAAGATGGACCAAACTATTGTAACTTGTTCGAGATGGCTGGAGGAAAACGAGGGTCCGGACGAAATCATTGAAGCCTTGAGAAAACTACGCCCGAGGTCTCTGAATAAGAATGTGAGAAAGGTCAGGCTACAGTGGATGGACAGATATGGTGCAAGCCACAATGCCGGTCCCGTCAGGAACGAGCTCCGGTCGTTGCAAAGGCTCACCAAGAGGGAGGCAATGGTGGCGAAGAAGACGAAGGGACAACGGAATTACCTCAAGCAGCTCAAAACGGCCGAGGAGCGCGTCTTGATGTTTGCCAAGCTAGACCTTCACGCGAAATGGTCAGCACGACGCAAGGTATACTCCCGGAAGGATTCCTTCACTGGACTCGCCGAAGTCGACGAGCTTCTCCGTAAAGCGCAACTGCTGCCAACTCACGTTTCCCAGCTCGAGCTTTCGTAGAAAAAAAAGAGCATCCCGAGAAAGAAACGAAGAGAAGCTCTGGAGGCCAGGTGTGAGCGCGGGGTTGTGGTATACGCCACCGAGCAAACTACTTCAAACTAGCTTGTGCATTGTCTTTCATGTCCGGTCGTGGCTTACAGGAAATCCTTGGGGCGGCCGAAATCTCGCCGTGCGAGGGGAACCCTCATGTAGCTGTCGTCTGTACTGGTGCGGTTGAGGCCGTGGTTCCTTTTTTGTGTGAGTTCGAAGAACTTTTTGGAGGTGTAGAGGGAATCCGAGGCATGAAAGACACATCCCATCTAGCTGCCGCGGAGATCAACCAACGGTTCAGCAATTCGGCCAATATTTGGGTCAGGAAAAATTTAACAGTGAATGAAGACGATCGGCACACGTTCAGTGACTTGGAAGTCATGCACGCTGCAATTCCTTCAAAGTGTTCGAAGGACACGGCCTTGGTTTCGGGGAATGGGTGAGGGTGGCATGCGGGCAGATTTCGCCGGCGACCCAAAAGAAGAGTGCTACGGTGACCATTGAGGGAGTCGAGGGCCGGCACCACAGGCGGTGGGTGTCGTAAAGTATTGGGTGTTTCGACCGGAGTCTTTGACACACACGCCGACCACATCGTTGACACCAACCAACACCTCCGGGCACGCGCAGGAAAGCTTATCGATAAAGGTGGCAAATCCATTTTCCTCTTGAAGCACCACACATGTATCCTGTCCAATGTATCTGAGCTTCGCCGAAATCTTGGTGCGTTGGCTTCGACCCCACCCTACCCTGTCCCAATTTTTCCTCCTTTGGGGCCGCCATGAAACACGCGTGTCTCGCCCCTGGCCCGACGGAAAACTACGTGCATGGGGCAAAATCGTAGTCCGGCAAAGATACACAACCAGATGGGCATAGCGGATATAACGAACTCGGCGACATTCGCTTTGCCTAGGGCTTCTAATATAGCCGGAACTCATCCCGTCACGTACATGGCAAGACTTGTCACGGGCCAAGGTTTGCCTCTCCAGGGCAGATTGACCAGCATCGGCGGGGCTACGTCCCGTGCACCCAACTCGACCCGACATCGATGACCTCCGCATACGGAGTAGACCAATCTATGCAATCGAATTCTGGTAGCCCCAGACGCCCGTGAAACTTGAATTGCTTCTGTCAAAAATGAAACACAGCACAGCCTCGTGCCTGTTACAAGAGATTTGGGATGTGTTGGACCCGTCCCCAGCGACTACCACACCCTACGAAGCACCTCATTGCACCGACGCGCTTCTATAATGTCAGGGACACATAGAGTCAACGTGCGCAATAGTACCTGTTCTTTCGTATGTGTACAAGCACCGTCCATATAACAATGTAGCCTGGAGTGGAAGACCACGAGAGGATTCCCCTACAAATCGTCGAACAAACCCATCTTTCTATTCAAAAGGACACACAAGTCAAGAAAAGAACACATCTTCGAGAAACCCGCAGGGCGATCAAAGGGGCCTAGCGCTTGCGAGGCCGTTGTGAATCATACAGTATACGCCAACGCTCGACGCCGACCGATCAACATTTTGAAGACTCGCCTCCTGCCTCGTGCCTATTGCATTATCTGCTGGTATCGTGTGGCTCCGGGCATTACGGGCTTCTGCAGCACCAACAAGTCTCGATCGCCAACCCGACTTCAACATACCCCCACTCTATCGTGCAACACATCTCCAGCACGACGAACCATGAGCAACCACAGGGGATGCGCCATCACACACTCTGCGCCCGGAATTGCCCGTTCTGGGTCGACTTCACGGTGTACTCCACACCTCCGATCCGAACCGCGGCACCCTCGGCGGGCTTGCACCGTTTCTTGCACTTCCAGTGCCTCTCCTGCATCACCGTCACCACCGCCTTCTCCTCGTCGACGCACCCTCGCGCGACGCCGCGGCTCCGGGGGAAATGGCACCAGTCCTTCCCGCAGCCGTCGCAAAACAGAGCCACGCCAGGGACGGGTTGCAGACGGGAGGCGAATGGCACCTCGGAGCCGCGTCGGTTCCCGCTGGTCTGTCCGCCCGCCACCACCTTCTTCTCGCGGTCTCCGTTGGCGCCTGTGGGCCAGCAGGTTGAAACGGTCGATTGTGTCGTTGCAAATGTCAATGATCGAAACACCATGCCGTGCGTGTTACGTTGGTGGTCGAAAGGTGTTTCTGGTGTAGTGGGCCACGACACCCATTGGCGCCACTGCCGCTCAAGCCCACAGAGACATAAATGCATCCCATGGAAAAGCTCTAAAATAGAACCAATGAGAAAATCGAGAAAAAAATACTGGAAACGAGATAACCACAAAAACAAGCAAGAAAAAAGACGACACCGCCACCCACTTATATCAGTCGCGAGCTCTCGCTGCCAACTTTCAACGTCGGGGCGGAGGGGGGCGGAGCTGTGGAGGCTGCGTGGGCGAGACTGCAATCGATTTGGCGCTGAATGTGGTCCAAAGCGACATCTAGACTCTAACACCTACACAAAGACAGCGACAACAACAATTCTCCACACCGGCATCACTCGATAACAGTCGCAAGCGATCTCTGCCAACGCTTAGCCTTGGGGCGAAGGGGGGCCGGGGCTTTTGGGCCCGACGGCGACGGAAAGCAACCGACCGGCGCCAACATAAAGCAATGCTCATCCGTAACAACAGGGGAGATCACTGGGCCGCGACAACCAGTTGTACCGTTCTATCGCACCCTACAGGAACAGCCGCGACAACAGTGAAATGACAACGACAACAACAGCACTCACAGCCTTCGGCCTTCAGCTCGACGGTGACTTGTCCGCGCCCCGCTCCTCCGCGGTGTACTTTGCCGCGCCTGTGCGGAGGAGGTGACGGAATATGTACGGGGATGGGAGGTGGTGTCGAAGGTGACAAGGGGGCAAGGGGGAAAGTGACATCATCAGAGAGTCCAATTTCTCGTGACCATTGTTCCTACCTGGAACCACATCTCGAGCGATCTCTGCCGACGTTTAACGTCGGGGCGGAGGGGGCCGGGGCTTTTGGGCCCGATGGCGACGTGAAGCAAACGATCGGCGCCAACACAAAGCAATGCTATCGCGGTGGCCATGCAAGATCAAAGGCACGAAAATAATGGCAAAAGAAGTAGAGTACAAGAAAAACGTCGTCACCGAGGGGTCACGCGAGATCGCTCGTCGGCGATGACATCAAGGTCACCAAACGAAAGCAAAACAGAGGCCGCAGCGAGCGACGACAGCCGCAACTCACCCGCGGTCGAGCGGTCTTCCACGAACTTCTGCGGGTTCCGCCGTTGCTTTTTGATGGACTCGGTCCCTAAAACGACAAGTCAGTCGACGTGGGGAAGGGACAATTGGGTGAATGGGTTAGCCTGGGTATCCCAACGGCGGCGGCATCATTAAGGACGAGACAGATGTAGGGGCAGCGAGAATTTGGTGTGTGGTCAAGCACGGTGACGGAATGTTTGTTGGGGAGGGAAGGGGGCAAGGGGGGGAAGTGATGTCATCAGGAAGTCCAATTTCTCGTGACCATTGGTCCTACTTGACAACGCAGGCGAGCTCTCGCTGCCAACGTTCATCCTCGGGGCAGGAGGGGTCGGGGCGTTTGGGCGGAGTGACGACGGAAAGCAACCGACCGGCGCCAACACAAAGCACTCCTATCCAAAGGGGCCATCCGAGATCGATCGTTGGCGATGATGTCAGACTCAGTAAACGCAGCACCGAGACCACAGCAACATCGAAAACAGCTGATGGGGGGGGCAGGTGACTGTAGAGGCCAAGTCAGCCATTGCAACCCCTGGCGCGCAACAGTCAACACTTGGCATCTACGCATCCAATCGAAAAAAGCTCCCGAATACTTCACCTACACCACCCGGACACAACGACGGCGTCAGCGACAACAACAGTAGTACGGGCAACACCAATTCTCACTCCAACCCCAAACGTTAATGCAACAACACCAATACGCACCTCCTTGGGCCTTCCCTTTCCGGGTGCCCTTGGACCTGCCGCGCCCCCCTCCCAGCAGCGCACCCTCCGCATGGTTGGCGCTGCCTGCTTGGAGAGGATGCGGGGGACGTATGACATACTTCAATGGGCGCGCGGCGACATCAATTTCAGCAGGCACCGAGAACAGCAACACACCTACGAAAGACGACGGCCCACGCTCCTCCCTCAGAGAGGCCACGTGGGCGGACGAGGCTGCCGCGATCAGCGCCAACACACGACTGCAACAATGCTACCCAAAGGGGTCACCCGAGATCGATCGTCGGCGATGGCGTCAAGGTCACCAACGGCAGCAGCACCAAGACAAACAGCAACAACGACAACCGGAGGTTCTCGCTCACTCACCCTCCAGCGCCGGCGGCGTTGGCGAGGTAACGCAATCGATTTGGCGCCGACCCAAAGCGATGCTATCGCAGTGGCCATCCGAGATCTATGGTCGTCGATGCTATCAAGCTCACCGAAGAGCAGCACCAACAAAAGAAAAAACGACAACAAAAACCAACACCAAGGCTTAGGGCTTAAAGTCAACAAGCGACATCGATGGCAACATCAGCAGCGACAACAACAACCCTTGGGCGTTGCGGGCTTCGATCGGCCTACCTCCGGCAGCGCAATCGTCTCTCTCTTCGTCGCCTTTCCCCTGATCTCGACGGCGACCTTCACCGCCTTTTCACGGACCTGGGCATGGCCCTGAGCAGTCGCCTCGATAAGCTCAGCGTACCGCCTTCGGTCATTTTCGGTTTCGCGCCCCCCCTGTGCCTCGAAGTGGTAGTCTAGGACACGGCCAACGAGATCCGCCATACCGTTGGAGACGTCCTCCTCCTCGACGGACTCTCCGTCCGTGCAGGCCCGGTGTAGCTCCAGGGCTCCCCTGACGCTGCTCTCCAGGGCCTCCTCCGCTCCTAGTGCGCGGCACTGGTGGTTGCCGTAGTAGACCCACGCCCGCCTACCCCCCACCTCCACCAGCTCTTGAGCTGTGTTCTTCGCTCGTCCTGTCTCGGCGTGGTCGCCGCCCTGAACAGTCCCACCGCCCGAGTGTTTGGGAAGTTGTGGAGCACGGCCCGCATTCACGCCACCTCGCAAACCTTCGCGGTGTGCTGCAGCTCCCTACGCAGGAGCCCCACCGGAGGGCAGTGCGGGATTGAAGAGCCGTCGCGGTCGGTGACGATCTTGACGCACGAGGCGAGCGTTCGGTTCATCTTTGCGACGGGACCGCCGACGAAGGGAGAGACGGCATCACATGCTCTGGCGACCTTGCCGGTCACGGTAGTCTGGGTCTGGTGGAAGAAGGGGAGTTTCAAGCTCTGGCGGCACATACCTTGCGTGCATGACACCGGCTCGTCCCAGCTAGCCGGATCAGCGAAGGCCGGGTGACTTTCGAGCACGCTCGCAGGAAATCCATGAAAGAGGCAAGACCCCCATCTGCTGCATTGTCGAACTCTACTCTCATTCTTCCCAAGTCTCCCCCGAAGCTGTCGTACGTGGCGTGCAGGCCATTCTCGGGGAGAATGGCTGAACAGGCGAGGTTCCGGAGTTGATGGCAGTCGAGGTCTTTCGGCTCCTTGCAACCCCGGGAAACACGGGGGATCCGTAGGGCGCCGTTCTCGAGAGTCGTCAAGCGGCGCGGGTTTCTCAGGAGATCCTCGACTTGCTCTCTCTCCACCGTAGTAACGTCCCGGTCCTCTATGCGCAAAAACCATTTTGGGTTGCGTTCGAAAGCAGCGAGGGCAGCCGCTTGGGCCGGTGACAAGTCGCCGCCGCTGCTGCTGCCGCTGCCGCTGTTGCTGCTGCTGCTGCCGCTGCTGCTGCTGCTGCTGCTGCTGCTTCTGCCGCTGCCACCGCTGTTTGCGCCGCCGCCGCCGCTGCTGCCGCTGTGGCTGTTGCCGCCGCTGCTGCTGCTGGGTTCACGGCCATCTCCGTCACCGTTGCCGCCGTCCCCGCCACGACGAACCTCGTCGAAGACGACGAAGTGCGCGCATCTGATCATGATCATGGGCTTGCTGGGTTCCAGCACGTCCTCGCCGTAAGCCTTCAGCTCCCGGTTCGACTTGTCGCCTGGAAACTTGGGCTCCACGATGATGGCGTCACTGCAGTACTGCGCGATCATGCCCAGCATGAGCGGATAGTCCGCCCACTCTCTCGGCCGCAGCATCCTCCTTGCCCAGTCCTGGCGGCTCCTCGCCCGCTCCTCAGGAGTATCGCCCTCCCAAAAGTCGTCGCCGAACGTAGCCGGGTTGTCGAGAACGTATTGAACACCCCCCAGGCGGTATCCGGCTAGCTCTTCGGAGGAGGGTGTCTCCGAGCTGGCCAACTGGCCCACTGCATAGGGACCGCAGCCGCCCCTTCCGGGATTGTAGCGTTTCGAGTACTCGCGGGTGTTGTCGCCCGGGACGGTCCAAACAGATGGAACCACCTGTCATATTGTACACGATTGTGGGCCGAGATGAGAAGGTGTTCGTAGCGTTGGACCTCCGTTCCGCAAACAGCCAGACGCCGAGCAAAAGCCAAACATAAACAACGATACCGCCGACAACAACAACAGCTACAGGAGAACAGCGAAGGTGAGGATACGGGCTACATTGCACCGACAACGAATTCTGACATCTCGTGTACGCTTTTGACGCTCGGAAACGGGTTTTCTCCCTGCCGATTTGATGCCAGATTCAAAGGCTTCGTCGTCGTCCGAAAGCTGGACATCGCTGTCACTTTCGGGGGCCTGAAAAATTATCATATCGGACGGGTCGTTTGATGACACGGGTGGGTCGTGCCGGTGGGACGGATGAAGTGTTAGCGTCACATGCAGAGCCTAATGTAAGCCTTGCATTTTTGGCGGGAAAGCAATGCAAATTCGTAAATCGCTCGTTTCAGACTTGCAAGGCCGGTGCACGAAAGGTAAAAGAAAACATCCAACATCCTCTACAAACGACACCAAAAAACGACAAACCGCGCTCTTGTGTTGGAGGTGTTCGGGAGGGCTTGGCGATGCTGCCCAGGTTGGCCCCAAAATCTGCACGAAGCCATGTGTCATCCCGGGTTACCTCTGCACGAGGTCTTGGCATGCAATAAAACTGAAGAACGAACTTGCTTCCCGACAAATATTTAGACGGGGTTGTTCCACGACTATCCCCTCGAGCGGAGGGCAACGTAAGCCTTACACACACCCAACCCCCCCTCGGCCCCCTTTCCCCCGGGGTACCGCATGGATAGCGTGTGTCTCAAGAGGGGGGCAGGGCAGGGCACAAAGGTCAATCGGGCGCAAACGTGGTGCATCCAGACGTTGCTATCCCGTACGTCACTTACCCAGACGGAACTGTCACTACCGTCCTCACGGTTGGGGCCGGAGCCGTCGCTGAAGTCGAACGTAGGGTTTTCTCTACCGCCGCTGCCGCCCCCCCCTACCTCTCGGGCTGCTGCTCCTCTTGTCCTCATCGTCTCCGGTGGTCTTCCCCCCTGAAAACGCGATCGAACGACCAGAAATACGGACATGGGCAGGAACACGAAATCAAGGGCGATGTGCATTGATTGAAAGGATGTCGTCGCAGCGGCAGGAAATCGGCAGCAGATCCATGAGCGAAGAGATGGAGGCCGAGGCAAACATCAACGACAATCCTGTACTCCGACCGAGCCAAGACGCGAGGGTCAACTACAAAATACACACACAATGACATGTTTTCCGAGAAGGCATGTCCTTCATGTGCGCATCCGCGATGAGGGCCTAAACTTCTACCGGCAACGTGTGATCAGCAGCGCAGCCACGCGATCTCGAAATTCGTACAAGGTCATGTTCAATCCACTTTCCCTTGTGGATAGACTACGCATTGAGGGTGTCGTCGTACTAGTGTACGTGTTTCATATGTACTACCTCACACGTAGTCGAATGCCAGTGGTCGTGATGGTTGGTGCGTGTCCGGCCCGAAGAGCGTTGTTGCCCTGGTGTCTGCGATAGCCCATGATGAGTCGACATGCCAGGGCGGAAGGAAAAACACGACACACATTACCGTGTGAAGACGCGGGCCAGTCATGGTACAAGCGGAACCCGCGGAAGTAAGAGGTCATCTTCCAAGGTGTGCACTGCTGTGTCACTGCCAAATCGGGGCTCCAAACGCGTGCGCGCGGGCTGAGAAACACGGGACTTTCGTAATCGTTTGAAATTTTGATCGGATCTCTAATGTGTGACATAATTCCTCTCGCGTCCGGAAATCCCAGATGCGGAGACGCCATCAGCAAACGGCGTCTGCGACGAGGGTGGTGTGTTTGACATGTGATGCGAGGATGGGTTACTCAGGGAACCATTCCCTCCGTGTTCTTCCACTTGGTGGGCGTTAATCGCCCCCGTCAAGCGTGATATCGACGTTGTTGTTGGTGGGGTTTCAAAAACCAACGACGCCGTTCGTAAGTTGCTCTCTCCTCTCTCGTCCGTTTTCAACCTCGCCTTACAAAAACACGGATCATTCATCAAGACTATACCTGCCTTCGCTTCCGATACCTGATTCTTGACTCGACAACTGCCTGGTCGCCGCGCCGTTGGCCTCGGCACCGTAGCTGGGACACACGCTCCGCCACCAGGCCGGCAGCAGGGCCCCTCCTCGAACATACCCTCGGTAATTTCGTCGACACGGAAATACTTTGCTCGTTGATTCGCTACTTGTCGTTGAGCGTTGCCCGAGTAGAATTCGTCGCGTTTGACAGGGTGACTTCGTCGTACCGTAATGTCCCGGCGTACGTGCCAGGCGGGGTGCTTCGTTCGTGCACCCTGGACTCCACACGCTCAACATTGGCTCCACGCAGCGAGTGGAATCGACCAACAGTGTCTTGAAGACGGTCATGGAAAGGTCGGGGACAATGCTGGAGGTACATAACGCCATTGTAGGCAAGGTCAAAGACGACATAACCAAGAGTCAAAGGTGAGCATTTTGGTGAACGTGTCAGTTATATTTCAGCGTCGTTGCCCCCGCTGCGTCAATATCGACTACAGAGAGAGCGGAAGGCGATGTTGTGGTGTGCTTGTCAAATGTTGTGGCCAACCGCGCACAAGGGCAAAGGTTTCGGCCTGCGCATAGAAGAAAATATCTCGCCATTTCTCAAGCAGCGTGCGTCCCAAGGGCCGTCTGTCGACAGCGACTTAGCGATAAAACTTGTCTGTACAAGTGTCGTTCCATGCTAACCACGGAACAACCGTAGTCATCTTACGTTGTTAGACAGGCCCGTGAACGCAATCGAGTCAACATTGCGCATTCACTCGCGAGGTCCATGCCCCGGCGGGACACGGCTTGATTGTTTTTGCCTCTGCAAAATGCGTAGTGCTATCCCCTCATCAACTACAGCAGCATCTTCACCTTCTTCTTGTGTGCTCTCGCTGCTGGCCCGCGCGCTTCGAAGGGAAACCGCTGGGGGCGCGGTCCACCGCGTGCGCCATCGGACAGCCTCGTCCGCGGAGAGAATGAGGGAAGGCTGGCTGGAAGGTTTCGGGTTCATCCGGGAGGGTATGCGACACGCGAAGTGCAGTGCCTTCGCTATGAAGGTCAGTTTTTGGTTCGTAGGTCTGCAGAGGGAACAACCTTTCGGGTATGTCTCCTCTCTCGCCTCGCGCCCTTCATCCTTCCTTCCCCCGCCCACATCTGTCAGTCTGCCGTACTTCTCTACTGGTATCCCTACCGTGGTATCTGCGCTCTTTGTATTGGACTAACAATGATGCTCTTGGGTGGAGATAGGTGACCGGGTAAAGACCGTGCAATTTCAACCATTTGATTTGTATTCTGCCCCCCCCCCCGTTCCTCGTTGTATTTTTTTTTTGGCGGTAACCATAATGGTGGCCGAGTAGATCATGTTGTGCGGGGTCGAGAACCCTCGCTCCGCGCAAGGGGGATGATCGCACCACGTTGTGTTAAAATGGTCAAGCACCCTCGAGGCAGT